CTGGCTTACCAGACCCCATAGTGGTCTGCATTATGGAAATCTTATATCCTAATTAACACAGATCTGTCTTAAATTATTCGAATTCAGGCTTAGGGTTGTATTAGTCATGATTCAGCGGATCCCTTCCTACCTCCTGTCCGTCTGGACCATATTGCATCCTTCCCAATGTTTCTCTGTGGACCATAGACATGAGAGCCCAGTATTGGTGGGGCCTAAGTACTCACTGTGCTCAAGCTAAAGGGCAGAAGGTGGTGTGTGCATGCATCCAGGTCCAGAAGCCTCCTCTTTGAGCCCTTAACCCTGATCTTACACACAGCTGGCTACCTCTCTCCATCAAAGTTGCTGTTCGCTCTGATCCTGCTCAAAGCTCCTCTGCCTCAGAACTCGCTGCCGTCTTGGAGTGCATTCTACTATGCTGATTTCCGGAGTCCCTGCTTTATGTTCAGGCTGAATCCAGCCATCTGTATGCTGGAAAAATATTGACAATTCTCCGACCTATCATACCTTTTAAAGGCGTTCCCACACAGCAATGCTGCCTTGTTTATTGAGGCAAAGTCTGTGTTTTGCTTAACTCTGAATGTTGGGTACCTAGAATAGCTTGCAAGATAAATGTCAATCAAGTCTAGTATAATCAAGACACCCATTCCTGCCTCATTAGGGTCTTCTCATTCCCGTTAAGCTTCTCAGATTTATACTCTGTAATTAGAAACTTGGTGATTTTGACTGCTAAACAGAAAGGCTTACTGGTAAGCTTCATATGTCTGAATTTTAAATATTTTCACACTTCGTTAACCCAGTTGCAAGTGTAACATCTTCTGGCCCAATTCCCTCATGTGGTGTGAATTTTATTTTGGGGCAGAGATGAGCACAATTAATTGAATTGGAACAAAAACACATATTGATTACTATTTTTCATGAGCTCTGAGCAGTTTGTCTCTCAGTGATTTTATTGAAGAACTTTGAGACAATTGCTTGACAGGTTTTTGCCCTAAGTGACCTCATTCCGGCTATTGTCATGGTCTGGGTTGGAGGAATTCTGGTTGTCCCTGTCCTTCTTTCACATCTAGGCCCTGACTGATGAACCTTGGAATCCCACTCAGGCGTCAAATCTGTGTGAATAGCAAGATTTCTACACTGTTGATGAAAATACTCGGCTCTTTGGAGCCCACCGTAAAGAGCATTCCTTAGCAGACAGCCATGTCTTCCATGCACGACTGTCATGCTTCCTTCAAGCAGATGTTTCTAGATGAGTTTGTAATTCTTTCACTACCTCCACTGCCTCCTTCTAAAGGTCCAAAAGGTGGAATTTTAGAATACCTTTCAGAACAGAGCTTGGTATGCTCAACTGTGCATGGGAGTTACCAGCGGAGGATCTTGCTGACTGAAGTTCTAATGCCATGGTTCTGTAGCTTGAGATTCTTCGCCTCTGGTGTGGTCAGATTATCAAATGGAGGCCAGAGTTCAAAGACAGAATGGTACTTAATCAAAGCCGCTTGGATTTGGGGGGTACAAGATTGTTTAAGGATAACTCCAGAGGTTGCTGTGTGATGTGGATTTAAAGGGGAAGAAATTTTGTTGGAGCACTGCTTGGACCCACTCTGTTTAAGATACATGGTTTCAGCAATGGGAACTAGTCTTTCTCTTTATCTCTCTCTGTATCTCTGTCTCTCTGTCTGTCTCTCTCTCTCATGTGTGTGTGTGGGTTTTTGTGTGTGCACACACATGTGTGCATGCTTTTGCTTTGGCTTTGGTGAGTCGAGGTTGGGTTGTATATAGAAAGGCACAGAAAATCCGAATTTCTCTTCCATTTGTGTCACCCTAGTTTTTTCTCTGTAACAAAATATTAGGGTTTTTGTTGAGGCTAGAAGAGAGTGCTTTGTAATTTATGGATTCCTCTCTGGAAATTACAGCTAGATCCTAATTTTAAAAAGCAAATTGGTTTCATCTAATTAAATTTGGAAATTGCCTCATAAACACATATTTCGCAATAGATGTCTCTAAAAGCAAGGTCTACTGCTTGTTCTCAGGGACAAGGCTAGCTTGAGCTCATTGTGGAGTGAACCCCACCTCTCTCTGCTCAAGAGTGCATGCTCTTCTGTCAACTGCAAGAACTTTCTAAAATCCCACGTTTCTAGGAAAGCTCTTCTCAGTTGTTATGAATCTATCAGGGTTTGGTTACACTGGAGACTGTGGCTCAGGAAGTACTGATGGGGCCTGGTGCATTGCATTTCTGAAGCTCCCAGGCAGTGCTGGTCCATGAGCCACACTGTGTTTTATCAGAGGCTTCTCCTGAGTTCAGGAGACAGGATATGCCATCCTAACTGATGACCGCGTGACATGTCACATTTCTGTCCCTCAATTTCCTCATTTCTATGCAGTGTTAATAGATAACACATTACTTCTAAATTCCAAGACTGTGCTAAATACGTATTTAATATGAACCCTTGCAGCAGCCTCATCTAGTAAATTACATTACTATTTTTCAAGGTTTTTGCCAGTCGAGAAGCCTGCAGTCCTAAGGGGATATCCGATGTGTCACAGTCCTCACACGGTAATGAGGCAAACTTGGATTCTGATCTGGTGCCTGACCTCCACATTAACATTCTTACCATGCTTTGTCCTCGTTAGCTTGTGACATGCACCGTCCCAGTCATGCTTACACACGGAATACAATGGACAAGACACACAAAAACAGAATCCCCCAAGAGTTTTGGTGTGTTCTCAAGTGGCTCACAGAAATGTCAGTCAGTAGCAATCTACTGGCCTTGGTTCTCTATAATCATAGCCCACAGAGTTACTTGAAAATATCGCCACAGAGCCCTCTCTAGAAGAGTCCATTATGGAAATTAATTCAGGTCTTCGAGTCTCCACATGGCACTGGGTTCACAATCAAATAAGTCAGACAAGATTCTCCATCTTCCTATTACCTTGTGTCTAAGGGCTCCAGAGATTGTACCTCACACAGATCCTACAAATCCACATATCTCACTCACAGCTGTGTTTGGGCCACTTCTCTGTCCATCTGTTTCTTTAGTCTAATCACAGAATGGCAAGTATTGCTTTGCTAGTCCAGAGCAATGCACAGTCCTATGATATAAAAGCTGATGAGCTCTTGAGAAAGAAGTCTATGCGGAGATTCAGGGACGCTTTTAAAAGAGTGGAACCTAGGGCTTTCCAAGAGCAGGTAAGTGCAAGAAGCAGAGCCTTTCATGACCAAGCTGTCATCATTTTGAATGAGAAAAATAAGGCAATTACCATGAGCTATTCATAAAGCTAAATTCACTCAATTTCAGAGACTTTTATTCTGAAATGATATCCTTTTGTAGCTTTGGAATTATGTCTTTTTAAATTAAATGTTAATAAGAGATGGTAAATTAGCTTATGTTGGTTTCTAAAATCTTTTCGATGTTGCTGGTCCATGAACTCTGAATGTGTATGCTTCTACAATGGAGAAATTTCACGTGATAGGACCATCACTCTCTAAATCATGGATCTTTACCCTGCTGTATGAAAAACAAGCTGCTATGAACAATAAATTTCCATGTCAGTTTGTCTGTCTCTGTCTCTTTCCTTCCCTTCCTCTATTTCTCTCTGATTGTGGTCTCTACAATGAAAAACACACAACTGTGAATTTATAGGATTTTTGTTTCAGACAATATTTTGACTATTCCCTACCTAGTCAAATGTGCCAATATGAATGTTTCTCTTTTAATAAACACAGAAGGAAATATTTTTCTCTGTGGCCCAAGAAGGATCATAGACATTATTGTGCTTGTATTTCTCCTTCCAAGCATTAATCCTGAGAGCTGTACCAAGGTCCCAGAAATAACTTTCTAAAATGAGGACATTATATAGATCTTTTGAAACCAGGTGTCCAGTGAGACAAGGTGTTTTGTACATGCTGATAACCTCTTGCTTCATAGATATCCGTGGACCATTCATGTCTCTAGAAAGCTTATGGGTGCATTAGATCAACCCTGATCCTTGACTCAAAAAAGCTTTACACTGTGCCTAGTTCCCTTCCAAGCACTTTGCGGGTGCCTGTCTCTGCATGGTTGCTTAGTGGCGTGAGTCCCTGAGCAGATTAGGTTTCACATCTCAGCCTGGGAGTGATGTGTTATAGTCTGAAGCAGTGATTGGCACTTACGTCTTATAGATGAGGGATCAGGTCTGAAGAAAGGAGGAGCTTACCAAGGAGGACCTGAGACTATGGACCAGCTTTTAGGACACAATGTATACCATTTTTAACTTCAGCATCCAGGCCCCTCATCTTTATCGCTCTGTTTTCTACTTTGTCCAGTATTAGAAGCTCATGCTGTCTCAGAATACATAAATTATAGGTAAGGCAATTTTACCCACATGCTGGTTCTTGACTTAGATTATCAGCCTTTGGGGAGATAGTTATGTTTTTGTTCTCCAACAGACCTCTAGAGAGCTTGGTTAATCATCTTCAGTTGTCTGCTTGGTAGGTGTGCTCCTCCTGAATATGATCTATTTCATGTATGATAAGAAAAAACCTTGTTGATGGGTGGGAGGATTAGGAACTACCAGTTGGCTAATGATATAATATGCTTTGCGTATACAGCAAGTTAAAACTTAGGAATCTTTTACCCTTGAAACAGAAAATAACTATAGGAGTCTTTCTAAAACCCATGAACTGATATATATATATATATATATATATATATATATATATATATATATATGGTGATTTGCCATGAGCACTGTGGTTTCTGTACAAACTTTAACTTCTGTCTTCCAGGTCTTTCTCTTTTACATCAGGACAACCTGATGCCTTAAACTATTGACCCATTTGTAGAAGAGATCACTCCTCCGAACCACGATAATATCAATGCAAGGCATATCCACATGTATTTGTCTTTGGGATAATCAAAACAGCCCAACTATATGCCCAAGTTGTGTCTCACTCACTTCTACGCCCTTGAAGTAGCTCACTGAATGAAGCTGAACTATCTGAAGCGGCACAGGAGCTTCCTTACCTCATAGAGTGTGATGACCCCATTGGTTTCATTGGGAGGTTTCCACTGGATGTAGATCTTCTCCTCAAAGGGCCCTCCCTGGATGGACTCAAGAGGAACAGCTCCTGGAACTGCAGAAGGGAAACGTTGTAAGCCTGATGTCACTTCCCACATCATTTCTCCAGTTCTACTCACCAAGACCACAGTCTATCAAAGTTTCTATAAAGGATTAGGCATTATATGTCATGACTGATGGTTGATACTACCTCTGCTTCAATCTCTTGACTTTGCACAAAAATGGCCACAGAAAATCTGTAAATGAATAAATATGGGTGTATTTTAATAAAACATCATATTCAAAATCAGACAGTGGGTTGGATTTGACTGACAGCTTCTCATTCACTCACTGAGCAAGCCTACTGGTGAAGTGAACCTAATTGGGCACAGAAAACCTAAGTAGGTTGTGATTTGATGCATAAAAAATGGCTTTGCCATCATTTTACCAACTCAGTTCCTGGGCCCTGCCAAGTGTTCTCCAACTTTATAAAATGCTTCCTTGGTTTCTTAATTCCTGTATCTAGCAGTAACCATGTGCCCAAATAGAAGAACCTCATCTTGCTCCAAGAAGTCAGCTGACTCATTTTGCTGCTGAGTCTCTTAATCCCTTGCTTGGTAGATGTGTAATATCCATTTGTTGGTTGGATGAAGAGGTTGATGCATGGCTTATGCCAATATTTCACCCTAATGAGCACACTTTTCTTGAGATTGCTTCTATAATAGGCCAGTCTTTCCTTCAGCATCTTCTGGTTGATTCTAGCATCCTCTCACAACAGGCTGGAGGATGCTGAGCCAGAAAGAAAATGATTCCCCAAACTTCCACTTATAAGCCTTTAGAGGATGAAGAATTCATGTAAATCATTACCAGATCTATTTATACTTCAGCATAATAAAAGCAGGTATTCTTACTAAGTGCTTACTCTTTGATCGAAACTTTACATAGATTATTTCACTTAAGCTACAAAACAACTCTGCCTAGTGTGTATTATCTCCATGCTGATAAAGGAAGTGAAGTTTTGAGAATTAAGTAACTTGGTCAAGGTCATATACTCTTAGGTTCTAAAGAGGGAACGGAACACCTGTCTCAGAACTTCAGCGCATATAATCTTAATCATCATGCTATGCTTCTCTGGATAGAGCCTCAGCCATATGCTGTAATCAGTTCCCCATTGTCAAATTAAAATTTATTTCCTGAGAAACCACCACACTGCTTTCCAAAGTGGTTGCACAAGTTTGCATTCCCACCAGCAATGGATGAGTGTACCCCTTTCTCCACAACCTCTCCAACAAAGGCTATCATTGGTGTTTTTTATTTTAGCCATTCTGACAGGTGTAAGATGGTATCTTAAAGTTGTCTTGATTTGCATTTCCCTGATCGCCAAGGAAGTTGAGCATGACCTTAAGTGTCTTTTGGCCATTTGAAGTTCTTCTGTTGAGAATTCTCTGTTCAGCTCAATGCCCCATTTTATAATTGAGTTGATTAGCCTTTTACGGTCTAGTTTCTTGAGATCTTTATATATTTTGGAGATCAGACCTTTGTCAGTTGCGGGGTTGGTGAAGATCTTCTCCCAGTCAGTGGGTTGCCTTTGTGTCTTAGCGACAGTGTCCTTTGCTTTACAGAAGCTTCTCAGTCTCGGGAGGTCCCATTTATTCAATGAGGTCCTTAATGTCTGTGCTGCTGGGGTTATATGTAGGAAGTGGTCTCCTGTGCCCATGTGTTGTAGATTACTGATCAACTTACCCTTGGACCCAGCAATACCACTCTTGGGAATATACCCAAGAGAGGCCTTATCATACAACAAAAGTTTATGCTCTACGATGTTCATAGCAGCATTGTTTGTGATAGCCAGAACCTGGAAACAACCTAGATACCCTTCAATGGAAGAATGGATGAAGAAAGTATGGAATATATACATATTAGAGTACTACTCAGCAGTAAAAATAGAAAACACTATCCTGAGTGAGGTAAGCCAGACCCAGAAAGAGGAACATGGGATGTACTCACTCATATTTGGTTTCTAGCCACAAACCAAGGACATTGAGCCTATAATTAGTGATCCTAGAGAAGCTAAATAAGGAGAACCCAAAGAAAAACATATAGGCATCCTCCTGAATATTAACCTTCAGCAGGCGATGAAAGGAGACAGAGACAGAGACCCACATTGGAGCACCGGACAGAAATCTCAAGGTCCAAATCAGGAGCAGAAGGAGAGAGAGCACGAGCAAGGAACTCAGGACCGCAAGGGGTGCACCCACACACTGAGACAATGGGGATGTTCTACTGGGAACTCACCAAGGCCAGCTGGCCTGGGTCTGGAAAAGCCTGGGATAAAACTGGACTCTCTGAACATAGCGAACAATGAGGACAACTGAGAAGTCAAGAACAATGGCAATGGGTTTCTGATCCTACTGCACGCACTGGCTTTGTGGGAGCCTAGGCAGTTTGGATGCTCAACTTACTAGATCTGGATGGAGGTGCGGGTTCCTTGGACTTCCCACAGCACAGGGAACCCTGAATGCTTTTCGGGTTGAGGTGGGGGGGGACTTAATTGGGGGAGGGGGAGGGAAATGGGAGGCCGTGGCGGGGAAGAGACAGAAATTTTTAATAAATAAATAAATTAATAAAAAAACAAAAAAAAACAAATTAAAATTTATTTAAGTTTTTCTCATTATGGTCATGATGCATATAATTGGTTGATATTAAGAATATACAAAAAGATCTTCTGGTCGGCACCATGTTCTCTTAAGATATATTATAGCTTCGGTTTAGTATTTTTATGGGTCTCCTGAGTGTGCGAATGAGTGGGTCTCTGATTCTTGTGCCTCTCTTGGGCTTCCTTCCTTCTTTTGGTTTGCCTTGTACAATTTTGATAATATTTGTAAAGTATCACTATATTTTATTTTTTTGTTATTTTGCTATCTCATAGAAGCTTGTCCTTTCCTAATCAGAGACGGAAAGAGAGTGGATCTGTATGGAGGATCAGGGAGATGTAGAAGGAAGGGAAACAGTGCAATCAAGATATAGTATATGAGAAAAGAATCAATTTTCAATAAAAGGGTTAAAAGGGAAAATAGAAATAAAAAATGAAAAAAATGAATAAAACAAAAATCTTAAAAGAGGATGAACAAAATTACTCATACCCAAATCCAAAGATAGCTTTCCAGTAATGTGTGGGAATATAGCTGCATATACATCTTTTAAATATAAAATCTGAATTTACTTTTTGTCAAAATTAATCTATACTGTGTATGCTGTATTTTACTTTCTTTCATATCTAGAAAGGCATAGACCTTAAAAATTCCTAAAATTCTAATGTTCTTTTGAGATCAAACATTTTAACGGCCACTTGGAAGCATGTGACTGTATTGTGGTCATAATAACTCTCTCTTTTTATTGAGTGTAAAGCTGTTGGAAAATTTCATTGTTGTGGATATCATGAAGTTAAACATGCATTTTATAATTACCACACAAAGTACAGGTTTTCTTATAAGATGGTCATTTGTTCTTTGTTGCTGAACTCCGTTCCCCCATCTCTCTGCACTTGCCTGTGTGTTTTTATGCTTCTAGTGCCCCTGTTCACCTCTTTACTTAAAACCCACCTTTCCACTCTCGTGGGCTCCTTTGGAGCATCATTACCTTGACCAAAACTCACTCCCACAAAAATGCACACATAAAAATTAGAAACTCAGAGCTATATGCAAGAGACAACATACAATATTTGAAACTCTGAGTCTGGGTCACCTGACTTAATATAATATTTTCCAGTTCCATCCATGTTCTGGCAAATTTCACAGTTTCAGCTTTTTTGATGGGCATTCTTATACAAAAGAGTCTGCATGCAACTTTGCTTGTGTCCTCAAGAAAATTTGTGGCAATTAATTTACTAGGCCTAAGTAGATCCTATTTTTAGAGATTTTGACACATATTACCAGATTGCCTCCCAGAAAGTCTGTGTGAGTCTGGGCTCCTAGCAGAAGAATATGCCTAGGCCTGGTTTCTTCCCACACTGACTATTTAAAAAATTAAGTATATGTGCCATTTTTAGAATACTGGAAAGTAGAACTTTTTCCACTTTTAATTAGTCATTTGCATTGGTTCTTTTTAGGAGCATGCTCTCTACACCCCGTGCTCAGTTTCCTGTATGTGTCTTCATTTTTGCTCATCTTTATCTTATGGCATTGTCACTACTATCCCTTTGTAAAGACACATTTGTTTTTGCATAGTTTACAAATTTTTTTTTGGTGACTGTTAGTCTTTTTGTTTTTGCAGGAATTTTGGTGTAGGAGGTCCTTCTGTCTTTGTGTTGCTTTCATTAGTTAATAAAGAAACTGCTTTGGGCCTTTTGACAGGGCAGAAGTTAGGTAGGTGAGAAAAATTAAACAGATTGCTGGGAGGAAGAAGGCAGAGTCAGAGAAACTAAATGAAACCTCCAGAGACAGACGCTGGGAATTTTACCCGGTAAGCCACTGCCACACGGCGATACACAGATTACTAGAAATAGGTTAAATTAAGATGTAAGAGTTAGCCAATAAGAAGCCAAGCAGTGATTTAATTAATACAGATTCTGTGTGGTTATTTCAGGGCTAAGCTAGCCAGGTGGCCAGGAAGAACAAGCGGCCCCCTCCTCCTACAGATTTTCACTTGCCTTTTAAAGTTTTTAAGTACAAACTTTAAAGTTCTACAGCTTTTAAAATGAGTCAAAATTCTTATTGCTTCTTCCTAACCCCCTTTCCCTCTCCACAAACATATCTTAATTAATGTGATGAGGGGACTGTTACTGACATTAAGATTAACCAACTAACAAAGGGAAATGTGACCAAATCCAAAGCTTGTGATCCAGGGAACATTAAATAAATGTGTTAAATAGCTATACCTGTAATTATTTCATTCAAATTATCAGAACTCTCAGGTAAGGGTATATAATACTAGGAGAACGATGAGCAAAGAAAAAGCTAGGCTAGCAAGCCAGGACACTGAGTGGCATGTAAGTCAGAGTTGATGGATAAATAGAGTACTTAGAGAAAAGGGAGTATTGGGAGTGTGGTGGATAGCTTTCTGAGGTCAAGAGTGGAA